TGTTGTTTGTTCTATTGTTCTCTCAAAGGGTAGTAAGCCATTCATGTGAGACCTTACGAGAGCTGCTACATCACCCAATCATCTTAGAACTCCGTAACAACAGCAATAACCTCTACTTGTACTCAAAATACAAAAAACAAAATAACCCACTGACTCTGCCCTTGTTCGATCAGAGAACATCGGCGGCATCTAATTAACAATTAGACTCCAAGGTCGTCTACTGTTTTTTTCGCTGACAAATGCCTCTCTGATTTATAGATGGCGACTTATATGTTCGATTTCTATTTTCTTTCAGGATAGAAAAGGGAATCCTGGTGATCTTCCCAGAAATTTCATTAAAGGAGCTTACGAGGGATTCTGGTGGTCATTCATCACCATGACAACCGTGGGGTTAGGATATAAATGTTGTCAAATGAGAATAACGCACTTAAAATATAATCAACCATACATTCTAAAGCGCTCCGTTACTTCATACCTTAAAATTATGAACACTGTAAGCCTCCGAAAATGAACCTGCCAAAAAATGAACGTCCACCTCTTTTTTCAAAAGGAGCTACGTCACAGTTTGCTAATTTTGCTCAAGTTCGTTGTTTGTAATCATTGTTAATCTTCTCCATCCTTAACCATCTTTGTTCCTTTATGGTTTATTATTATCTTTTAGGTGTTTTTCTATCTTATATTACTAGTTAGCCACTATTTTCAGACTTCCTCAATTTAAAAGTAATTTTGTACGTTGTCGAAATAACTCAAAATGCTCTCACTAAGCCCCTTTAACTTCCATAACCCCATTTATTTTGCTTTAACAGTCTGAATTTCTCTATTTTCAGTTATGGCGATCGCTGTCCAAGGACCTTCTCAGCCAGAGCTTTTGCTATTATATGGTTGCTTGTCAGCATGGTGCTGTTTACATTTTTTATGGGTACCATATCGTCTATTTTGACTGTTACCGTGATGCATTCAAGGACAACACTGGTTCATAGGGGTGGAAATAAGGTTATTAGCACTACACGATTGGCTTAACATACTCACACCACCTTTTTATCCAATCACAAGTAAAACCAAGTCCTCCTATGTTTTAATCTCATGCCTTTAGTTATACGGACTGCAGAGACAGAATACTCTCCTCATAACTGGAAAATATTGCCCAAGTTCCTGGAAATCGACCTAAAGTTGGTCAAAATCACGATGCGCGTAGCCCGGTCTCGGCGACTTTCTAGTCACTAAGTCAGTTAATATTTCGGCCAGACTGCCTATAAGTAAGCGCTCAAAAATTTTTCCTCTATCCATTTCACTGAAAACCAAAGTCTTCAGGAATTAATTTACAGTCCCTAGGACTGGGAAATATCGCCCAAGTTCCAGGAAATGGACCCAAAGTTGGTCAAAATCACGCTCCGCGTAGCCCGGTCTCGGCGACTTTCTAGTCACTAAGTGAGTTAAAATTTCGGCCCGACTGCTCATAAGTAAGCGTTCAAAAATTTTTCCT